ATGGGTTTAGAAAATCATATAGTACAGCTACAGCTATGGCAAATTTAGTGATCAAATAAATAGTCACCTAGATAATAGGAAATATGTAGCTGAGTCCTCTTTGTAGATTTCAAAAAGGCATTTCCATCTGGACCACGGACAGCTAATTGGAAGGAATGAGAGAATGTGGAATCCGTGGTCCAGTAAACGAATGGTTCTGAAATTATTTAGATAACAGAAAACTGTTCACTGTAATTAATGCTACAGCCGGTCAGGAATTTTATATAAAAAGTGGTGTGCCTACTGGTTCGGTATACGGGCCTGTTGGTTATACCATGCACGTAAATAGTATGATTAACGTAATAAATTATTGTACGACATATATGTACGCAGACGATACATGTTTGATATATGCAGATAGAGATATCGAAAGTATTGAAAAATGTATACAGTCCGACCTGGAAAACATTTTGATGTGGTCCCATGACAATGGTATATTATTGAATGTATCTAAAACTAAATGTATGCTTGACATTCTCCATATATGAAAGATATTAACAAGTCAATTAGAATAGTCGGCCACTCGTATCAATGTCTTCACAATAGTAAAATACAATGTAATTGTGAACATATCGAGATGGTGAATGAATATAAATATTTAGGGATCACAATAGACTGTAGTTTTAACTGGAAAATACATATAAACAATATATGTAATAAATTAAGATATGTTTTGTGTAAGTTCATCCAGCTTAAATATGTAGTTAGTAGGTCGATATTGTTTTCCTTTTATTGGGCATTGGCAGACGCGGTATTAAGTTATGGTCTGGCGGCGTATGGGACCTTTCGTACCTATCTTGATAAATTATATAACATACAAATACGTTTTTTGAAACACTTAGTAGATACGGAATTTAAAAAGAAATGTAAAGGAAACTACAATTTGTTATTCACAAAATGTAATATTCTCCCTATACATGAAAAAGTTACTTTACTATTGGCATTAGAACAATATCAATGCAATAAGTATAAGGTTAAAAAAACAACTGAGTATAGTATGAGACATACAACTATAAATAAGTATATTGAACCGGTGGTATGCAACTATTATGGTGAGAGAACAAGAAGGTACATTACTCCACGAATATTTAATAAAATTTATAATGAAAACGATTGTTCAAGTAAAGAAATATTTAAATTTAAATTGAAAAGATGGTTACTCGAAAAAGTGCATTAGTATAAGTTCTATATTATAGTTAAATTGTAAATTAGATATAAGTAAAAATGAGTGTCCTTATTCGCCAACAAACTGCAAAGCAGTTTGGCGATAATTGTAAAAACAAATTGTGTATATGTAATACTTATAAATAAAAAAAAAAAAAAAAAAAAAAGCAACATTCTGTCATCTTTCATTGTAATTGAAATACAGATTACAAATCAAACAGCGTGGCGCGCATTTAGATAGATAGACCGATAAATATTTTATTATCGATTACAAACACATAACGTACATGATTCAGAATAGTTAATTGTACAAATTAAAAAATGGTGGTGACTTTATGCGTTTTTTTAATTCACTTTATAATAATAATAATAATATAAAAATTATTTATTTATTTGCTTGCTACATGGTAATTTCGGATCTTACTAACTAATAAAAGTTCATGACATCCAGCACCCTGGTGGAGTATGCAAATATTGTAATGAAATCATAATTACACCACGTTTAAGTTTTACAATACCATTCGCACTGTAGGAACTAAGTTATTCTAAAACTTGTGAGCCATATATCTGTATCTGAAAGCAGGCCAGATGCGGTTAGAGCAGTGATTCCCAAAGTGGTCGAAGTATATCGACCCCCAGGGGTCTATGACAAACTGCAAGGGGCCTACGACAGCGGTTATCTTGCTGTTTTTAACACTAAACTTTACTAAAGTTAGAAATTTACAAAAATATCAATACCAGGTAAGAATGGGGGGTCTACCCAAAACCGAAAAATGTGGCAAGGAGTCTACGACACAAAAAGCAAACTATAGACCCTGAGAAAGGACATAGGCTACTTTTTAATGCGAAAAAAGGGTTTTAAGGGGTTAAAAGTGGGGATGAAAGGTTGTATGGAAGAATCGTCATTTTTGAAGCTGGAAGCTTGAAACTTATCTTTGAAGCCGTTGAATAAATACAAATATGACATTTAAAGTTTGTAAAAATGTTAACCTTAAGGGGGTAAAAAATTTAACCTAAAGGGTATTGAAGTTTGTATGGAAAATCGTTCATTTTTTTTGCCTTCCTTGGGTTAGATTATTGAATATTTTTCCTTTGTTTGGTCGAGGTCACTATAATACGCGGACGAAGTCGCGGATACAGCTAGTATTTCATAGGGGAGAAATAGAAAAAAGTTTGGGAACCTCTGGGTTAGAACCCACGCAGATTACTTTGTACAAAGTCCTACCGTAATAGACGTATACAAATTTGATTGAGTGATCTCAACATTATATCCCACAAGGTCATCTCAATCAAAACTGCATCGCGTCTCGAGCTGATTATAAAATAGATTTTTACATAAACCATATTGTTATGAAATGTTATACCGTTATGTAAACTACTACAAGGATTATTTAAAAGAGCAACACACAAGTTTCTTGCTCGTTCTTCTTGTGATGAGACAGCTTTCCGAACGAGTGGTAGATAAAAAACAAATTGTTATGACTATTCAAAAGTGCTTATATTAAGTTTATTTGAATAAATGATTTTCTATTCTATTCTATTCTACTGTATGGTATATTGAGAGAGGAACCTGTCTTTCTGATAGTTAAGATTTTTTTTAAAGATATAAAGAATTTTTTTAAAGTTGCGAGTTAGAACCCCTATAAGCACAATACTTGTTAGTTTTTTCTTGTATCAGAAAATTTTTCTAATAATAATGTCCCTGAATAATTAACACAGCGCTATCTAGTTCCGAACTAAGCATTTCTTTTTCGGACTACTCTAACGCTGTTGGCCGTAGTTAGCCTTTACAGCTTCACCGGACGATCGGAGACGAGTGCAGATGGCACTCTAAACCTGCGAAAGGTTTTATGGAGCGGCTGAAGGCCAACTCCCGCCTGACGGATACGACTTTAGTCTGAGGGCACCGCTTCGAACCTCAGCTTACGCTATCGTAATTTCGATCCCCATTTGTATCGGACTGGGAATCTATCAAAGAGACGACCGGTGACCCCGGTGTGGAACGCCAGGGCTCGCAAGGTTGCGCAGAGCAGATCTTGGGTACTAGACAACTATTAGAAATACTTAGATATTTTTTTTGTACATACATAGAAAACACTCAGACCGTTACAATCATACTTATAAACACAAATGTTTGTACCGTGTGTAGAATCGAACTCGCAACCATCGGAAATGAGGCGGTGTGCTAAATCGCTAGACTACCGAGGCCGTCAACAGAAAAATGTAGAAATAGAAATAATCTTTATTCAAATAAACTTAATATAAGCACTTTTGAATAGTCACATTTTTTTAATCTACCGCTCATTCGGAAGCAGACTCTTGTGTGTTGCACCTTTAAATAAATATTGTTTTAATTAAATTTACATTAGCAAGGATTAGGCATGCTACAATCTACATTAAAACCGCTACGCACATAAAAACTTGGTCTAATAAATTATGACAACATTTAATCAATTAGTTAGAAGTACCTACTGAAAATGACATCATAGTTGACATCATGTTCTCTCCAACATGTGACACTAGAGGGAGGGCTGCAGCCCCTGGGGCGCACCGTCTAGACACGACATAAAACTTGTATTTCACCGTTAATGTCATATGGGTCATTTCTATATGTATATATTATTTATTTATAGCTAGCTACTCGCGCCGGCTTCGGGTTTACATATATATATGTAAACCTTCCTTTTGAATCACTCTGTCTATTAAAGAAAACTGCATCAAAATCCGTAGTTTTAAAGATTTAAGCATAGATAGGGACGGACAGACAGCGAGAGTGACTTTGTTTTATACTATGTAATGATGCTTTATAGACTAACATACATATGAATGAATATTATAAAACTAATATATAGAAATATTGAAATTGTCTGTGTGTCTGACGACGGCAATCTGCCACGGTAGCGCTGATACACCACCCCTTCGGCCAGTAGTCCTCCTTCATTAAGGTGGGCAGCATGTTCGTGGGGACCCGAGCCACGAACGCTCCCGTTGTGGCTCGACTCCAGCTGCATCAACCTCATTGTCAGGTTACTCTTGGTTCGTATGCAATCGACAATGTTCTGTTCCTTATATTGTGTGGAAAGGACCACTGGACGGTAAGGATAGTGGTAAAAAATTAATAATCAAGCGGCCGAAAGTATCTTACTATATATTAATATATTGATATTAGGAATTGGTTTTAATATTTAGTGAACAAACGTAATACTACATATAATTAGTAAAAATCACGGGGTCTTACCACGTTTTATTTTGATTGAGTTCTAGCTAGTTGGTAGTTTGTATTCAAACAATTAACTTTAAAAATGTAAAGTTACAACTTTTATTTATTTATTATTTTTAATTATTAATGTTTCTTAAGGACTGTATTTTTAATATATTTTAATTTTAGTTTTAAGAGAAACTACGGTCGCTAATGGTAAAAGACATATATTTATAAATGACAAATAATAGAACAATAGTAAATGGATTTTAAATATATATAAAAAATACAATAAAAGTCTAAAAAGGTGCGTCGTGCCCAATTATCTTATTTATTTATTTATTATCACAAAAATTTGCGATAATAAATAAATAAATAAACAACTATATCAGTTAAAAGCAACACGCGAGGTTCTTGCTTGTTTTTCTTATGTCAAGACATACAAATGAGAGGTAGATTAAAAAAAACTAATGATTATTCAAAAATGTTAAATATATTTTATTTGAACAATTTTTTTTTATTCTATTTCTATTCTATTATGTGCTGCCAACGCCTGCACGTTTAGTGATAATGAAATGCCTCTTCTGACTATTCACAGAAGTAAGAATGAAAAAGTGTCAGGCGCTAAGAACGCTAAGCTGGTCTGCATCAGCGGTGGAAGTCCTCGGCAGCCCAGCACTCCTCAACTGTTGCGGGTTAGTGTACTTGTTTTTTTTTATCTAATCGAAATCGTAAACATTCCGATAAACGGACTATCTCACGGAATCACAACTTACAAAGAAGCTGTTTTACGACTGGCTGAAATGGGTTAACACAAAGATTATTTTATACAAAGTCTACCTCTGGTTATTTTATAATAATGTAAATACATGCATATCACTCTTTTTCTCAAAAGTGGCTTCTGCATTTTCTAATTAACATATTATACTGGTTAGATTATATCATATGTTAAGGTTAAGTTGCACCGGTTATAGAAAAGTTGCGAGGTAACAGATTGAGCTAGTATAGGCATGTTATGCGGAGGAACGAGGATCATGTCTTATGGAAAGTGTATAATATGAATGTGGATGGATGTAAAGGGAGGGGACGCCCTAAGAAAAGATTGATGGATTGTGTGAAAATGATATGAATAAAAGAAGAGTATGCTCAGATATGACGACCGATAGAGAACAGTGGAAGAGAATGACATACTGCGTGACCGATGGAGTGGTCAATACATTTTTTATAATTAAATTTAAAAATGAATCTGTGACATGTTTAATCATGTATAAGGTTATTTGAAAAGAAGAACTAAGTTTTTTGTAAGTTCTTAAATTTGTCATAAGATTCTACTTCGGTAGATTTGACATATCGTAAGAATCTGTCATAAATAAAAATATTTTGATTTGATTGGATTTAAAATATTATAACTAAGAGTCAATTTTTTATATTTGATATTTTGTGTTCACATAAAATCTTATTAACAAACAGTTCTTGAAAAGAGAAAGGTTTTTCGAATCGGAATATTGTTATATGTAAAATGTTGTTATATTAAATTTATTCATTTATTTAGAAAACTCAAATCACTCTGACCTCCTGCACAGTATATCAAATTAGACAATAAATAAATTTAAAAAAAAGTTTACTAGTTTATGTTATCCGACAATGTCGGATTAAGAACTAGATTAAGATATATTGTTATTTCTCATATTGTTTCATAATTTGTATTTCTTACATTGGACTGAATAAAATATTTTTCTTTCTTTCTTTCTAATGTGCTTCTGCCTAATAGACATGAATAATAATAACATGATAGAATAAGATGAATGTAGCACTATCGTAACTTCTTTATATTTCCATAGATTTAATGCTAATAATGACTATGTTTTCTGAAATAGATATTAGAAGAAACAATTCAGAAGAAGGCTCCTAAGCCGCTGTTTCAAAAGCCTCCTCCTATCAGAGACACTGAGCGCTTCCACCTCACTTTCAACATTCCAGAGGAAACAGCTGATAAAATATTCGAATACAGGACAAAATTTGTTCAGCACATGCTAACAAGCCCCATGTATGCCAACAGTGTGGTCGGGAAACCTTGGGAGGTGATTGGCAGGTGAGAGTTCTTTAACACGTTGACGGACAGTAGGAACAAGCGAAGTTCGAAAATTGACACAACCACCTTCACAACCACGTGCATAATGAATCTGCAACTCGTATAACAGGTGAAATATGAACTTCAACCTAAAAAGATATATTTCAAAACACACACACTACGTATACGCCAGTAAGTGCCCATTTGTGCTGCTATAGTCGTAGTGTCTAAAAACGACCGTTTCGTTTTGGACGGCTATAGCAGTCATGCCACATTGTGAACTTCGCTTTGACGGCTATAGCCGCAATTGTCCGTCAACGTGTTAAGATAGATGGGATTTGTTGCATCTCGTATATATATCACACACACTCACAAAGGCCCATCGCTCTCACTCGTATTTGATTATTCACCTTCCATTCCATTTTTCAAATAGCTATTAATACAAAGGGTAAACATGTAAAATGTACACAGTAATAAGTCACTCCAGTCTCTACAATACAGGCCTGCGAGCCTAGTGTCGAACTACAGTAAATTAAAATGTAAATGTGTATCATGAATAAATATTATTATTATTATATAACGAGGGTAGTTCCTCTACTTATATATAGTCTGGATTTAAAGTATAATTGTCTATTAACTCACTCCCGATAACAAAATAATAAATTTAACAACGATCAGCCAGATTTTATTCAAACAAGTTCGGTACAGAGTGAAGAACAACCTCTCGCGCTCGCCCCCAATTTAAAAGTGCCGTTTCGTAATTGCCGTTAAAATGTGATGAACCTCAAAGCAAACCGCTTGACGTTTCCAACAACGATAATAGATGGCGCTATTCTAGTAGAAACTAATCAATTGAGCCTCTTTGTTGATTCTGCGACATATATATATATTATACCTCCCTTTTATTCAAACACGCAGGCTTTAGCCAAGCATGGATGAGTTATGTGATGAAGAAAGAAATGTTCTTACTATTCGGCATGTGTTTAGTATGACGGCTTTTTGTAATAGGTCTATTGTAGAGGAGGGGAGGGTTTTTTTATATATTATATATCTCCCTTTGATGTGGTGTCATTATTATTATTATTACCATGTATTCCCTACCTCATTCATTACCTATTATTTTTTTACCTCTAAACATTGTATGATTATAATTTATTTAGTGCAGTAAAGCATCGTAATTGAATTTCGGTTGAGGGCCTCGTGACCTGTATTACAGGTTATACCTATTTCAGAAGTTGTTTGTATCGGTCTGAGTGTTTTGTATATACTTGCAAAAAAATATATCTAAATATATATATCAGTAGACTAGTGTACCCATAAAACAAGCTCTGTTTACCATGGGACTAGATGGCACTGTGTTAATTGTCCAGGGCTATTTACTACTCTTATTATTAAAAAACACCATGAACACTACAAAAATTTGTTCTGCGTTTTTCAAAGTGACATTATTTTACTATGCTTCCAGGATATCCGAACAAATAATTGATGAGCTGCTATTAAGATGCGCCAATGAAATGGAAATTGGAGACGTCATCCAACAGATATACAATCAAGAGATAAATTAATTAAAATTGTACATGTTGCTAATATCTGTTTTTCCCTTTTATTATAGTTTTTATTTAAACAACACTAAAATTACACGATTAGTTAATTTAATAATATCTTTTATTAATTTATACATTAAGTTCAATATTGCTAACTTAGACATTTCAGTCTTTGTAATGGTATTCAAGCATACACACATTATGACATGATTTTTATGGTCTGAGTAGTCTTAAATTAAAATTCATAACATATCTGTAACAGTCGCACTAAAAACACTTTAAAAACTTTCTATAATGATAAATAAGGCACTTAATCATAAGACTAGGTAGAAATACCCGATTTCATAACGAACTTTTACATATAAACTATTATAATTTAGACTTGGTCGTCAGTATTAAAACTTTGTCGGAATGAATTTAATACTACGCTAAACTTTGCTTTCTGTCTCTTCAACGTGTCGTTTTTATCTACTTTGACATTCTTATTAATACTATCGTTACTAGAGGATTCTGTTTGATACGCGTCTTCAGGAGTTGGTGGATTTGATTTCATCAGTCTCGGTTTAACAAGTTGTGTACCACCATTAGCAAATATCGACTCTAATTTAGACTTTAAATCTTGTCTACTCATACTCGAATTGTCTTCTTCATTCTGCGGTTCATTGTCAGTCTGTGCTGAAGTGTCTATAAGATTTGTGGGCCGTAAATTTTTGCCTTTATTTGCAATAATCTCTTTCTTTAGGTCCTCAAATATCAACGGTCGGTTTGACGTTGCGGAATCTAAAGTTTCATCGGCGTTCCCTATTGAATGTGATCTTTTTCTTTGTTCATGCTCTTCGTGTTCCGTATTTATTTTATTCTGAAAAATATTAGTTAATTTTGAAATAAAATCAATTTGTTTCTCACTCCCGAAAACCATAGAATCTTCGGCATTAGAATTATTCGATTGCACACTCTCCCTAGGCTTCATGTCTTTCTCTGATTCTAATGAGTCTTCAACAGGATTGATTGTTGATTTTGGCATCGAATAAAATTTTTTGGGATTCGTTTTCGCAAAATATTTTTCATCAAACGGTGGTGGAACTGGTATATAAGGACGAACATCTTTTACATCTTCTGTTGAATCATTCAAAACCGTTTTATCAAATGTATCGGAATATCCCGATTCATCAGTACGAGAATTAGTTTCACTATCATTTGTGTCATTCAGTCGTCCTTCTTGCTCATTTAATGGTTTCTCTAAATTTACATCTTCTTTATAATTTTTTTCATCTTCTTCGCTGACTATTGTCAGATCTTCTCTATGTACTTGCGCTATTACATCATATTTAGATAATACTTGATTACCTAACGATGCATCAGATCCAGCATCAGATAATTCGCTCAAAGATTTTCTTTGTTTAGTCATCTGAATGACTTCCTTTGGTTCAATATTGTCATCTTTTAAACTGGTTATTTCTCCATAACTATCTTCTTCTGCTTGTAATACTTGATCTAAAAGATCTATTATTTTTGCCTCTTTCTCATCATTTGTTTCTATAATTGCTTGCTGTATTATATTCTCTTCAATTTTCATTTCTGTATCATCTTTAACTTCTATTGGATGAATCACTAGCTCGTGTCTATTGTCCACTTGTATACTGTCATTTCTTTCCTCATCTCTTACAGTGCTGGGAGGAGTTGGTGATTGTACTACAATTTGTACTGCTGTCTTCCCATTTTTATCCAGATGAGGATATGTACTCATGTTATCTTGTAGATAGTTACTCTTATTACGTTTATAAACATACAAGCAAAGCATGTATATGAATATACCTGGAAATAAACGAAATTTTACAAATTTGATATAAATATACTCAAAATCTTTAAAAAGTCTCCCAGAGTCGTCTGTATTGTCTGAACCACTGTTTCATATATTTCAGCCATCGAGCAGTTTTCTTTTGTAGTTTCTTTTATGCTGTCTTTCGATTTGAAGAGTGATACGTTGAGCTATTGTAATGAAAAAATAGGGTACAGGTTCATTATATCTTAGTATGACCACAGGTAACATAATATTACATCTGACTGAAGCAAGACTGAAGGATTCTGACAATTTATTAGGGGAACTGTATATAGGCGAGAGCCAACACATTTCAACAGGTGAACTCATCAATTTGTTTACTATTTCAGTTACATAGAAAGTACCTATTATTGTCCAAACAGCTACTCGAATCCATGTCTGTGCCGTGATCAGAGCCATCAGCTGTATGTTGATGTAAATACTGATGCAGGGGATGAGGGGCACCAGCGGCGTCTGTAATTTAATAACAACTTGATGAATTTACTTAATCAATTTACATACGATTATAATTTTTTAAACAATCAACCAATTGATATAGTATTAATAAATTAAGATATCACTTGTCTGAAGTAGAGCAAATGTCTGCAATAGACCTTAATGATTAATTTTGAATTTATCTAACAAAAAATACAAAACATTATTATGCAGACCTTGAAATATATTTCTTCTTTGACCTTCGGCTGCAATGCCATGATGATGATGATAAATAGAGCAATCGCATGAAGGACACCCATTGCTATCGCTATATTCTCAGCAAACGCAGCTACAAAAGCGATCACTATGCACAGTAGTACTGAAAGAATATCACATAACTTTACGTTAACTTTATTCTATTTATTATTAAGAGCACCACGTAAGTTTCTTGCTCGTTCTTCTTGTGATGTGACAGCTTTACAAATGAGAGGTGAATGATGGATGGAGATGATGGATGATGGAAGATAAAAACATTACGCCGACCACAAATAAAAGGGATAAGGAAGAATCTGATAATGAGTTAAGTTTTGGTAGTTAGCAAAATCAATATTGTAGTGTGAAAATAGAAATAGAAATAGAAAATAATTTATTCAAATAAACTTAATTTAAGCACTTTTGAAAAGTCATAACAATTTTTTTTTATCTACCACTCGTTTGGAAAGCTGTCTCATCACAAGAAGAACTAGCAAGAAACTTGTGTGTTGCTCTTTTAAATCCTTGTAAGTTTACATTTACAAGTCGAAACGTGTGAATACAAACTACCAGCCAGCACAAATATTTTGAGTCAAATATAAATATACAATAAGATTAGATCAGTCGTAGTGATAAGAACAGACCAGTCCCTACAAGCGGCACTCGTTCGCGAGTATGACGGATGAGCCAGCCATCACTGCGCTCGACCATATTTTAGGGAGCCCAATGATCCGGCCCACCACGCCGCCACATGTCTGGACATTTTAGTGAGCATGACTACTCATTCCACTCTACTACTACACTAGTTACAGTATTCGCACTTTACATGAGGATGCATGCGGCAATCAATCAAAAGCCGCTACGCTATCATATATAAAGAAATCAATATAAAAAATAAATTATAACGTTGTCCGCAAATAAACTTATTCTTGATATAAATTGCTATCATCTATAAATTCATCTTATAATAGGCTTTTTTACATAACATTTGTTTAATATGAAATTTAAAATTGCCTCTCTGTAAGATTTAGCGTAGATTCTGGCAGTTTATTATAGAATCTTACGCAATTACCATAAAATGAATTACTACCTTGTTACAAAACAAAATAAAGTTTAAAATCAATAGTTTATTTTGGACATTATTAACTTTAGATTTGTTTTGCAGTAGTTCGGTAATAATTAAAAAACTTACTGTACAATGCAAGTGTAACATAAATGATTCGGGTGGACATTTTCGATGGTGGCATTCGACAGCCAAATATTTGTTTGGGATAACTCTGGTACAGATACGGTATGTCGTTGGAGCGATACCTGCAAATTAAAATATATAAGACAATTAACACTCCACCATCTAAGCTAAGTAGAACTTATGTTATAGGTCGGTACCTATAACATAAGTTACAACTAATATAAATAGGTACTTAGATATTTTTGTAAGTGTATAAATACATAAACATATAAAACCCCTAAACCAAAATAAAATGAATACAAATGTTTATACCGTGCGAGGAACTGAACACGCAACATGGAAAGTAAAGCGATTTGCTAAATTACTAGACCATTGAGGCCGTTAAACGATAACAGTCGTGTATAACGAACATGTGATTGCGAATACTAAACATTGTAGTGGGCTCTATTTAAATAAAAGTAAAGATAAAACTGTAAATAAAAGATAAAAATTGAGTGTAAGAAACTTAAAAAACAAACGTAGAGATAGATTTTTTCCATGATTTAGACATTAATGGCTGTGCTTGAAGCACGAACAGTTATATATTAAAATTGAAATAACTAAATTAAAAAAAATTCAAATATCCTACCGTAATACTATAACAGATATAGCGACTAGGGTGTAAGACAGAAGTGTCCCAATACACATCATCAGTAACAGCTGGTTGATCTCCAAAATACCAGCCAGTACAGCTGAAAATAAAAAAATATCAATTAAATTACCAACGTAAAAATGCACTAAAAAATTACAGCAACATTACAAAAATGAAAATGTGTCCCTCTACTTTCTTTTCATGAGTTCACGGCTGAAAATATTTTAATCAAAATTTGACATGAAAGTAGATTGTGTTATGAGGATTTCATAATAAACAATGATTTATGAAATAGAAATAAACTTTATTCAAAACTAGCTACACGCCCTGGCTTCGCACGGGTGTACATTATATTTATAAAGCTTCCTCTTGAATCACTCTATTGCTAAAGCTATAGTTCAAAAGATCTAAGCGGACAGACAGCCGAAGCGACTTAATTTTATATAATGTAGAATAAAGGTACAAACACTTTAGAATTATCATATTTTTTTATTCCACTACTCATTTGGAATGCTGACTTATCATAAAAGATGGAAAAAGAATTTGTTAATAATACCTCTGGACAGTTGACACAATGTCATCTATTCCCTAGCTAAGCAGCAAGCTAAAAACACTAAATATACATAGAAAACACCCAGACCGATATAAACAATTGTACTCATGAATACAAATATTTGTATCTTGCGAGGAATCGAACCCGTGACCGTAGAAAGTAAAGTAGTTTTTTTTCGGACTACTCTAATGCTGTTGGCCGCAGCTGGCCTTGACAGCGTCACTGGACGATAGGACTGCGGGAGAACTTATGGAGTGGCCGAAGGCCAACTCTCGCTTGACGGATACGACTTTAGTCTGAGGGCACCGCTAGGGGCTCGAATCTCGGCTCAGGCCGTCGTAATTTCGATCCCCGTTTGACAGATTTGGACGGCAGCTCCATCGGAGGGGTAAGTAAAGAGGAGTGCTATACCACTAGAATATTAAACTGTATGTGAATATGATTCTTTACTATAATAAAGTGTACATCTATATTACATACCTATTAGTGTAGTAGGAACTATTGTTGCAATAACTGGTGACTGGCGTTGCTTCGTGACTTTGCTAAACCAATGCAAGAAGAGACCGTCTGATGACATCGCGTACAGCAACCGAGGTAACGGATATAGGGCTCCGATGAGGCTGGAATCATGAATATTTATTCGTTTAAGCTAAAACTATTTGGTAGAAAAAAAAGTTATAAAAATAATTTATATTTATTTATATCGCCTCAATAAATACACGTAGCGTTTTCGGATAAATTAAATCAAAAATTATTTATTTATTTAGAAAACTCTAGCTTATGAACGTCAAAATTTTTGTATTAATATATTTTCCCTACCGTCCAGTTCAGTGTACAGATTCAGTTGAGAAGACCTAGCAAGAAAATTCAAATACTTTTAATTGAAATACTTTTAAAAGCCAATTTATTTACAATGTATATTTATATAGGTGTCTATGTCTAACATTAAATGAAAATCCCGTGCATGAACAACTATTGCCATGCACGCTCGTCATTCAAATAAACGTTTAGCTTTGTTCAGTAAATATGATTTAACAGATGTTAAGAATTTATTTAAGGATAATTCCAGTACATGCTTTGGGTATCTTATTGTAAATTTTTATATCTATTCCCATAAAAGACCTATTGACTTTTTCTAAGGAATACTTGGGGACAGCAAGTTTGTCTTTAAATCTAGTATTAATATTGAGTCCTTCAGTCCATACTCAAGTATCATGTACTCAAAAACCATGTAATCAAGTAGTTCGGTAATTACTATTTATACATCAAGCAACGTCACAGCATCCAGACTCAACATGTTTAAGGTCCTTCGAGCCGGTCAGTTTATTCGTCATTTCAGTTAAGAAGTTTTTTTTATTATATCGTCTACATACAACTCATTGCACTGAAAGTTCTGTCAACGAAGTACTAGTGTAAAACAATTAACATATTTATAATAGGTATAACAATGTTTATTATTACGATAGTGTTTATTACCTGGCACAGATTCCGCAGATGATTCCAACGTAGATGACCCACTTGGCCCACTCCCAGCCCACGTTTGTGAAGGCAATGTGTATACCCTGAAATCAGACATGACTTTTTTATGTCACTGATGGGTATTCCACCTTTCAAATGAGTATCACCTTTATACGTCAAAAGAACCATGATAATCACGTCATTAATTTATTCAATTCAATTAACATAATATAAACTTACAGCTAATTGCCAACACGTTTATATTTTAAAACTATTAAACATAAGTATATACACCACTTAACTATATAATTACAAAAACAAAGTCATCATGTGACACCCGTTGTACCTCATATATTTCCATTCCAGAGGTTAGTCCTATGTACCCTGTCATTTCCCTGCCACGAGATATGGCCTCCAACTGACACCTTACAAAGCTGGTTGTTTACTAGAAGTAGCATTGTATTGGCCCAATTCGAATTTATCCGGCTCGACGGACCAAAGAATCTGAGGGTTTTTAAACCAACAGTTCCTTGGTATTGATGCTTATGAATTTGACGATAGTGAAATAACTTGAAGAATAATTATAATTCTAATGAAATATATAATAAGGTGCAAAATAGAATGTAGTGAAATTCCAGAAGATCTCAGGAGGCTTTTGCGCTTTTGAGAGGATCTTGGCTGGCTACTTTAGTAGTCTTGGCTCGACGACCCAGATAAGAGGCTAAATTCGGAGTATCGAGTCTGTATTACATTTACATTTTACCATCAGATGAGTCGTATGCTTGTTTGCCACCATCGTAATATAAAAAGTTACTGTAATGATGTTGCCTAACCTGTGTACGGTAATACGGAACCATTGTCGTAACCACTATGGCCACACTTGCGTAAATGCAGAACAAACTGCCCAGTGTGATCAGGATTGCCATTGGAATGGATTTGCGTGAATCTTGAGCCTGGAAATTGAAAAACAAATATTTTTATTACCATCCGCTGCAGTAATAGAGCGGAAGCTACAGCGCTGATTTTCCGCGGAGGTATTACGTGTTTTTTTTATCATTCATACAGAACTTTCATTACACCACATCTATACATATAAATAAAATTGGTGTAAATCATTACATAGTATAAAACAAAGTCGCTGTCTCTGTCTGTCCCTATGTATAGATAAACGTTTAAAATTACGCAACGGATTTTGAAGCGGTTTTTTAATAGATAGCGTGATTCAAGAGGACAGTTTATATGTATAATACATGTACACCCGGGCGAAGCCGGGGCGAGTAGCTAGTGTAATATGCAGGTAAATCTGCAGAGCTGATATTCATTCATTACATTAAGTTTATTTGAATAAAGATTATTTCTATTTGTAAATATACCTCTCAGAAACATCCATAAGCAAATTCTTGTTGTCGTGAGTTAAATGACTTACTTCTTCAGCTGTGGAAGAGATGGTGTCAAATCCCACGAAGGCATAGAAACAAATAGCCGCCCCTTTCATTGTGCCCACCACCCCATACGGGAAAAATCCACCCATCCCATATTCCTCGGGCAGATAGATTTCTGGTATAAACCAGTTCTCAATACTAGCTGAAAATAGGAATAATTAATTCATTAACGTCAGAGATTTAATAATAAACATTTTTTTTATGTAATAAAATTATGGAATGAAAACCTTAAATGTATACCTATAAATAAAATTGGAGTGTCTGTTTGTAATATTGAAATAACCGTTTTTTACTACATGCATATGAATATAAATGTGGTACATACACTAAAATAACATATTTTACAATTTTTGTCTGTCTGTCTGTTTGTTCCGGCTAATCTCTGAAATGGCTGGACCGATTTTGACGGGACTTTTTTTGGCATATAGCTGATGTAATAAGAAGTAACTTAGGCTACTTTTATTTCAGAAAAATAAAGTTAAATTCCTCGCAGACGAAGTCGTGAGAACAGCTAGTAAAGGAATTACTTACAGTTAACTGCACCGCCAATGATTATGAACAGTATGATGATGAGATTGATAATGGTGAAGACATTGTTAGCAACGGCCGACTCCCGCGCACCGAACACCAGCAAGGCTACAAAGAAACAAATAATCATTACTACATCTATAATTTTTTATATAATTGAAAAGGTAGAAAGTTTTAATCTTATTGTGTATTTATATTTGACACTAATAAATTAGTGCTGGTTGGTAGTTTGTATTCATACGTTTCGATTTGTAAATGTGAACTTACGATGATTATTTAAAAGAGCAACACACAAGTTTGTTTCTCGTTCTTCTTGTAATGAGACAGCTTTCCAAATGAGCGGTAGATAAAAAAAAAATATTATGACTATTCAAAAGTGCTTAAATTAAGTTTATTTGAATAAAGAATTTTCTACTCTATTCTAAACAAGCCGGGTCACCTGACGTCATGACGGTAAGCGTAACCCCCTCGGATCGATCCCCCCCTCTGATCGATCCCCCCCTCCGATCGATCCCCCGTCCAATTCAAACGGGGATCGAAATTACGACGGCCTGAGCCGAGGTTCGAACCCCTAGTGGTGCCCTCAGACTAAAGTCGTATCCGTCAGGCAAGAGTTCGCCTTCAGCCGCTCCATAAGTCCTTCCGCGGGTTTGGAGTGCCATCTGCACTCGCCCCATAACGTCCGGTGAAGCTGTAAAGGCCAGCTACGGCCAACAGCATTAGAGTAGTCCGAAAAAAAAAAAGGTAAGCGTAACCCTATATGCATGAATGAATGGGTAAGATGCTGAACAAAACATCACGTCATTAATGGATGAGACCTAAATACTGGCTATTTAGGGTTCTTCCATTAATGTTTACATTTCTTAGTTATTCTGTGGATTTATTAGATTTAGTCATTTATTTATTTATCATAGCCTTTATTCAGATCCAACTTATACATTATTTTAAAACAAACAAACAAAGCTTTAAAACTTAAAACGAAAATAGTTATTCTATTATTTGGATCTTTTTTAATGTCTGTAGATCTGTTTGCCAATCGGCAAAGGCCTCCATTCTTCTCTTTCTTGTGCCACTCTGTTCCACATTACTCCTGCCACTGTCCTAATATCATCATCCCATCTTGTGTGAGGTCTGCCTCTTTTCCTTTTTCCTTCCCTGGGATACCATCTTGTCACTTTCTTACTCCATTAACATCTCCTCTTATTATGTGACGTGCCCATCTCCATTTGAGTCTTTTAACTTTCAAATTTATATCTGTAACTTTTGTTTTATTCCGGATGATGTAGTTTTTCAGTCTGTCTGATCTCTTGACATTCAGCATACTCCTTTCCATAGCGTGTTGACAACTTGCGAGTTTACTTGTCATTTCATGACTTAAAGTCCATGATTGGCATCCATACATAAGGACGGGTAAAATGCAGGTGTTAAATAGTTTGGTTTTAATACTAATATGAAGTTTTTTATCTTTCATAACCTCTCTCATGCTCCAATATTTACTCCAGCTGTTAGTAATTCTTCTCTTTACTTCTTCATGCATCGGTTGTTCTTGAGTTATAAGCTGTCCTAAATAGATGTATTCATCAGTATAATTTATTTCAGAGTTACCTAAGAGTATCTATTTTAGAGATTAGAGATTTAGTCATACTTTTGTCTATCTAAAAGAATTAACGCTAAACACATATATAGTAATACGAGCTCAACCGGCTAACGTTGTTTTGCCGTATAAATTAAAATCGCTATCTTAAAAAATAGGAGTTGGTATTAGAAGGGATCAAAAATTTTTGTTATTTTTTCATGCTACATTATAAAAAATAAAAATATAATTACCAATTAATTTAAAAAACATTTAGGTCACTTAGGAGTATGAAAAACAGATAGTATCCGATTCTCAGACCTACTGAATATGTATATAAAATTTAATAAAAGTCGGTCATGCCGTTTCGGAGGAGTGTGGTAACTCACATTGTGACACGAGAATTTTATATATAAAACTAGCTGACTCCGCAAACGATGTTTTGCCGTATAAATTAAAATCGCTATTAAAAAATAGGAGTTGGTGATAGAAGGGTGAAAATTTAGAGTTATACATTATAAAAAAAAATGTCCAACAAAAAATGTTAGAAGTGGACAACCCTTATAACTATGGGTATGAAAAATAAATAGTAGCCGATTCTCAGACCTACTGTATATGCATATAAAATTTAATAAAAATCGGTCATGCCGTTTCAAAGGAGTATGGTAACTCACATTGTGACACAAGTATTTTATATACAAAATCTAGTTATCTGTGCTCAATACAACGTTATAAACACACATAAAAATGTAAAAAAAAATAGATGTTATCTGTATGCAAATAAACAGTAAGATGAAGTTGTTTATCTCAAGTATATTATTATACTAACTACACTGTATCTTGCCTTGAATAATTCTACTGTAACGCGAATCAAAACATATTTACTACTATAGTTTTGGCTCTGATTTTGTATTCGATATCTACTTAGAATGAAAATGTTCATTGCTATAAAATTACTTAACTTAATCTATATTATCTTAAGAACCAGTTAGGTTTAAAACTACTGGATACAAATAACTGTCCATCTAGACTAAATAGTGCTCTCCTTGCCAACATCTAAAGAAATTAAATGACATGGCATCTTACTGGATGTGCCTCATCTTCAAATGCCCATAACACCACACAATCTGATTATAGCCGAAAGGGCTGATTGCAGATAGAAAAGAAAAAAAGAAAAAAAATTCATCTATTTAAATAAATAAAACTGAAGTGTCTTTTTGTAATTTTAAATTAACAGATTTTCAATAAATGCATATGAAAGTATATACCGCACTTACATAAAAAATTGATTAAAGAAATGTAAATATTATTGTCATTTATAAACATAATTTTTTTCGGATTACTATTTATATATTTATCCCCTACCTTTCAAATGCCTATACAGTTAGAAGTAGAGTAGTAGTAGTAGTTATTGAATAGAATAGAATAGAATAGAAAATCATTTATTCTATTACTGTTATAATTCTTTTAATCTAAGTTGCGCTTGTCTTCAAAAATTCAAAATTCAAAAATCATTTATTCATGTAGGACATTTTAGCCGCTTATGAACGTCAAGTTTTTACATTATAATTTTTTCCCCTACCATCCAGTTCGGTATATAGATCCAATTCAGAAGAACTGGCAAGAAACTCAATTGAATTACTGTTTTTTAAAAAGCCCGTTTATTTACAATGTATAGGTATTTATATAGGTGTCTATGTCTAACATTAAATGAAAATCCAGTGCATGAACAACTATTGCCATGAACGCTCGTCATTACTTGAATCGTTTAGTGAGTAATAGGCTTTGCTTCTTTTAATTAAAGCAAGATACTCAGCTGAATTTCTTTTTAAAAGCAAGTTTGTTTAACATCTACGTTCAGTAATATTATGAAAATAAAAATTACATTGTTTTGTATTTGTTCCATATAAACTCCAGCCTTACCTCCCAGTATTAGAACGAGGAAGAACGCGAAGAAATCGAAGTATTGTGAGAAGGGTGTAGTCCCGATAGGTGCAAAAGTAGTGAACCATTCACTCATGGTGTTATTGACGGTGGAGTCTACAAACATACTCAGTCCCCTGGCTAGACTTGCTGTACCTGGAAATTGAATATTATATTTGAGTTGATCTATTGCAGACTCTTATGATATGTCAAATGTACCGTCAGTTCCGAGTGCTTACGAGCTCAGAAGAACAGAGAAGAAACTCACTCTTGGCTCTTGATATCCTATAAATTTACTTATTGTTATAACAAATAAATCTTACCAAATATCCCTTCGAGTATGTTATTCCACCCGACAATGAATGCAGCCAGCTCACCCATGCTGACATAAATGTAAATATACGCAGAACCCGCCCGTGGTATCCTCGAAGCGAACTCCGCGTAACACAGACCTGCAAATGTTATACCATTTATTCAATAACAACGTTTTTTTTTACTCTAATGCTGTTGGCCGCAGTTGGCCTTTACAGCTTCTCCGGATGATAGGGGACGAGTGCAGATGGCACAAACCCGCGCAACGACTTATGGTGCGGCTGAAGGCTAACTTCCGCCTGACGGATACGAATTTACTGTGAGGGCACCGCTAAGGATTCGAACTTCGGCTCAGGCCAGTGCAATTTCGATCCCCGTTTGAATTGAACGGGGGATCGATCAAATGGGTGGACGGGGGATCGATCGGAGGAGTCAATAACAACAAGTGGTCTAACGGCTTAGGACCGCTTTACTAACGATGGTTGCGGATCGATTCCTCGCACGGTACAAACATTTGTATTCATGATTTTGTTTTATGTTTTCTATATATAATGTGTATGTATTAAAAAATGTATCAAAGTATTTATATCAGTTGTCTAGTACCCATAACACAAGCTCTGCTTAGTTTGAGACTAGATGGCGTTGTGTGGGTTGTCCAGCTATTATTTTGTTACATTTTTTTTTTGTTAGATAATTTTTTGTATTCTCCCTTTGTTAAGTTGACAGAGTCATATTTGCGAGTGTATAACACCAAATAATGGCAACTATAGAAGAAATGTTTTACATTTTTTTTTTAATGGAAGACAATTTTTTTTTATTAGATCTACAAAACTGGATGTCTTACAGAATACATAACTTTATACACATAAAACAAACAATTTAAGTAATACATCCTACTAGATGTAGACACAGCATGCATAACTTAGTTTTTACACACACAAAATGACACTATACAATAATAATTTGCATTAATTTGCGAACGTAAGTGGTTTATGTAAGTAAGTGGATGAAGTGAGAATTATCCAGCGATATATTATGGTTCTAATTAGATTTTAAAAATATATGTATTTTACCTGCAAAAGAAGCGGCGACTGCAGCTACGAGGAAGGAGAGTACGACGGAGGGGCCGGCCAGGTTTAATGCCACATATCCGAGCAGTAGGTACACTCCGATGCCCAGGGTACTCCCGACCCCCAGGCTCGTGAGATCCCAGCGGTTCAAACATCTAAAATTACATACACGTCTTTTATTAGATCATAATAGAATAGTCCGGAATAAGTTTTTGAGACACTTATGTTCTGAAATTCGTCATGATACCCACGGCTACCATTCACCATCGCACCTCTCGCCATCGACAGAAAATTAATCCCCACATGCTGGAGCCTAAGAGGTTCAGAGGATCTTCCTTCCGCGTACACTTACATTGTGGAATGAACTACCTGCCGAGGTTTTCTCGAGAGAGGATTTTTCAAGAAGGGTATATTAAGGTTTTTTAAGGGTCGCCACGTGCGCATACGTGACACCCCTGGTGTTTCAGGCCTCTATAGGTTACGGCGTTTTACCAAAATACGAATTACAAAGCATTTTTAATGTTTAATATAGTTGGCTACAGACTTTACAGTTTCACCGGACGATAGAGGCGAGTGCAGAAGGCACTCCAAACGCGCTGAAGGACTTATTTATTTATTTATTTACATCGTACTAAGTGAGCTTTACAGTCTTCCAACATGCCCACTTAGGAAGATAATATACACACAATTATAAACACTAATTACACAAGAAAACAAAAGAGAAAAAAACAATAATAATAATAATACCTAATCTCCATTTAACATACTACCTAAATAATCTACTGCCATCCTACGAAACTCCAGCAAATTACAAGTAAATATGTCTAGATCTGGAAAGCAACTAACTACACCGTTGAGTAGACTCAATGCCAGAGAAATAGGAGCCTGTTTGGCCAGCTCTGTTCTTCTCCATGGAACATCAAACAAGTTTCGTCTTCTTGCTTGTACGTAATTATTGGGCGCTCTTATGGACACTGATGTTAATACCGCTTGGTTACATTTTTCACCTCTCATGACTTTGACTACATATTCCATTAATGTGGCGCAGAAGGCCAACTCATGCCTAAGGGATACAACTTTAGTCTGAGCGTACCGCTGATGGTTCGAACCTCGGCTCAGGCCGTCCTAATTTCAATCCCTGTTTGAATTGGGGGGATGGGGGAGAAATCGGAGAGATCCGGGGCACTCGCGGCTGCCCGTCCGCTCGTTATTTTATAAGAATATCAACTGTACCAATAGAGTAAGTAGTGTTCCTTGCAGTTAGTTAAGACAGGCAACCTGGGTTTTGTGTACTTTATTTATATAAAGCTTTCATAATTGCCTTTAATTCACACCAAATAATATAATCAAAAAATTTTGTGAGTCAAATTTCAAAAATCATTTATTCATGTAGGATATTTTTAATTTTTTTTTCCCTACCATCCAGTTCAATATATAGATCCAATTGTGAAGAACTGGCAAGAAACTTCATTGAAATACCTTTTTTTTAAAAGTATTTTATTCACAATGTATATCCATATAGGTGTCTATGTCTAACATCAAATGAAAAGTCAAGTAATAGGCTTTGCTCAGTAAATATGGTTTAACAGATACACGCCTATACATTCCAATTAATAAAAAATGTTTACCTTCTTAGATTCCCACCATCCAACTGGTCTGGAGTAAAGACTCTCTTCCTGTGCACGGTGGTGCATAAAGTTCTACAAGCCATTGATTAGCCCACAGCCACTATACTGGGATCCCACATTTGGGCAGCTTTATAATACCTGCAACAGGAGGGAAAAGATATTGTTAGTAATGTGGACTGATTATCTTATTGCTAACAATGTACCATGTCAGGTTGACCCCCACGCGGTTACCCCTGGAAACCATCGTGGTAAATTCTTGGTGAATTTGTCACGATGGGCTAACTGATCTAACCCTAAGCTCATCTTATCCTCCACTGGTGCCCCGCCAGCGTAATCCGTTAGCACAGGCGGGTGAACCATTCCATTATCATCCATAAAAAAAAATACCTGTCACATGGGGGAGGGTCTTACTAGTTTATATATATATTATATATATATTATTATATATATATTATAGAAATATATATACATATATGTTACAATTTTGTGGACCGGTTTTTGATAAATAAATATATGTCAACTTACATCTAACATGTTTTAATAACAGGATAAACTGAAACAAAATCTGTACGTGTAATACTAAGATCACTATTAAGATAAGATGATAAGAACTTAACCTTGTCAAATATATACACACAAATATATAAAGATGGCAGATACTTAGCTTAGTTTTGACGGACTCGGTAGTCTAGCGGTTTAGCACAACGCCGTACTTCCGATGGTCGCGGGTTCAATTCCTCGCACGGTACAAACATTTGTATTCATGAGTATGATTATTTGTATCGGTCTGGGTGGTTTCTATGTATCCCATGTATGTATTTACGATAAAAATATATATGTCTAAGTATTTGTATCAGTTATATATATGTATCTATGTAGTAGCCATAACACAAGCTTTAGCTAATTTCTATTTCTATATCGATATATATAAATAGAAATAATCTTTATTCAAATAAACTTAATATAAGCACTTTTGAATAGTCAAGTTTTTTATTCTACCGCTCATTCGGAATGCAGACTCATCACAAGAAGAATGACCAAGAAACTTGTGTGTTGCCCTTTTAAATAAAAAAATATTTAATTATATTTATATTAACAAGGATTAGGCATGCGGCAATGAACATAGAAACCGCTACGCATTTAATCTCTGTTCAATCTCCTCTATTTACTGTAAAGCTTCATCAAAATCCGTTCAGTAGTTTTTGTGTGAAAGAGTAACAAACTTTCGCGTTTATAATATTATTGAGATGTATTAAATAATATGATATTGTAAAAATTTTGTCGGAGGGGGAGGCCAGGAGTAGTCCTAGGGGGGCGACATTTTTTTTTAGTGTTTGCCTCGCCTCGATACAAAAGATCCGGTGCTGTTTTGCCCACTCCTGCCCTTTAAACTCCATTGTATGGAAATAGGGGCGAGAGCAGAGGGTATTCGATATTCTGCAGGACATATGTAGAAGCTGAAGGCTGAAGGGCTATTTCTGCCTGACAAATCCCGATATTTTTTTTTTGGATGATAATGGAATGTTGCATCCGCCTGCGCTAACGGTTTACGCTGGCGGGGCACCAGTGGAGGATGATAAGATGAACATGAGGTCAGGTCAGTTAGCCCATCGTGACAAATTCACCGGGGATGTATCACGATGGTTTCCAGGGGGAACCGCGTGGAGGTCGATCCGACATGGCACAATGCAATCGGATTATTACTAACAATCCCCTTTCCCTCTCAAATACCGATATTTCGGCAATGTTGATTGAGTTATATAGATTTTTTTTATTTTTGATGCTATAGCGATGAAACTTTATTATTTGGTCAAGATCACTTACGCGGACTAAGTCAGGGTACAGCTAGTATCATATAATTACATAGTATAAAATAAATTCGCTGTCGCTGTCTGTCCCTATGTATGTATGCTTAAATCTTCAAAATTTCGCAACAGATTTTGAAGCGGTTTTTTTATCAGATAGAGGGATTCTAGAGGAAGGTTTGTATATATAATACATGTACAGTCGTGCGGATCCGGGTCGAGTAGCTAGTATTATATGTAACAATAAGTAGGTCTCTTTAATCTATGAGTGAACAATGTATACTCACATTCCACGTGTTATATATTATATTTGATCACTGTGACGAACACAATACAGTTTTGTAATGGGAATTTCAAGATTAACTCAGCAATACGATAACAATAACTGATCTTAGATAAGATTCGTCCCAGTATTGCGTTAGACACATAACTACGGCAGATAGTGGTTTTTTTTAGTGTATGATAATGTAATGATGCATCCTCCTGCGCTAACGGTGCGCTGGCGTGGCACCAGTGGAGGATGATAAGATGAGCATGAGGTCAGGTCAGTTAACACATTCAGAGTCAGACAAATTCACTTATTGCTAGCAATGTACCATGTCAGGTTGACCTCCACGCGGTTCCTCTAGAAACCATCGTGATAAATTCTTGGTGAATTTGTCACGATGTGCTAACTGACCTGACCTCATGCTTATCTTATCATCCTCCACTGGTGCCATTCCATTATCATCTATAAAAAAAAATAATCCCCCCGATAGATAGTGGTTGTGATGTATAATGACCACAGTCACGTGTACCACGTTTTTTTTTTAAGGTAACTAAGGTAACTAAAGCTTGTGTTATTGGTACTAGATAACTGATACAAATACGCAGATATATTTTTTTTCGTAAATACATACATTTAATACATAGAAAACACCCAGAGCGATACAAACAATTATACTCATGAATACAAACTGTTAGTACCGTGCCCGCGAACCCGCGATCATCGGAGTAAAGCGGTGTCCTTTAGCGCTAGACCACCAAGGCTGTTGACAATAGAATAGAATAGAAAATCATTTATTCAAATAAACTTACACTGAAGCATTTTTGAGTCATTACATTTTTTTAATCTATCATTCGGAAAGCTGTCTCATCACAACAAAAACGAAAAAGAAACTTGCGTGTTGCTCTTTTAAATAATTTTATTATTACTTTACATTTTTAAGTTTAAGTGTATAAATACAAACCACCAATTAGCACTAATTCAATTAGATACTCAAATGGAAAAAAATATTGAATATATAACCAACTGGTTAAACAATTAATAAGAGGAAATCAGTCATAGTGATTAGAGCAGACCAGTCCCTACAAGCAGCACCCGTTCACGAGTATGAAGTCAGGTCATGAGATGAGATTGAAGTCAAGAAGGTCAGTTATTCAATTTTCAATTTTATTTATATGTATAGATAAAATGGACTTCTGCACTATAATACCTAATTCACTAAAATAGATACAATATAATTTCAATATTTATAAGAATTATAAATATGAAAGTTAGTAAGAAAAATTTTATTTATAAGTCGAAAACGAGGAAGATGCGATTTTGCTTGGGTCTAGATGGCGCTGTGTAACTTGTCCAGGGTTATTATTATTATATCTTATAATCCTCCACTGGTGCCCCACCAGCGTATACCGTTAGTGCAGACGGGAGCCCCATTCCATTATCATCCCTATAATACTCCTCTCCTTCTCTCCTCTCAGTAAGTACATAGAGATGTACTTACTGTTATCTTACTTACTTACTAATCTTATTAAATTTTTTTATTGACAACCTTTATATATACTTTTTTTTTCGGACTACTCTATTGCTGTTGACCGCAGCTGGCCTTTACAGCTTCACCAGACGTTAGGGGGCGAGTGCAGATGGCACTCCAAACCAAAGGAAGGACTTATGTTGCGGCTGAAGGCCAACTCCTGCCTGACGGTACGACTTTAGTCTGAGGACACCACTAGGGGTTCGAACCTCGACTCAGGCCGTCGTAATTTCGATCCCCGTTTGAATTGAACGGAGGATCGATCGGAGGGGTATATACATACACACATTTAACATACATATTACAAATATATATGTATGTATATATCTACATATACATACACACACATACACACGCAAAACAATTACAAACAATCGTCTATAAAAAAACTTTTTTTTATAGTAAGAATTTTTGTTAAGGTGCGTACAGATGCTAACGGTATCTTTAATACCTGATTTGACATAGTTTGTTCAACAAACATTGACTCTTTCGGTATTACAAAATTGCAAAAAAACATCTATAAAATAACATACATTTTTTTTTAATATTAGGATTATTTGCTAAGGTGCGTACAGATTCCAACGGTATCTGTAATACCTGATTTGACATCACTTAAACAAACATTGACTCGGTGTGTATACAGGGCTGGCCGAATATATTTATATAGTGATTAGACCTAAACCTAACCTAACTATAATTTGTTATATACTAGTATCTGTGATACTAGCGACCTGCCCGACTCCGCTGTATTTAATGTAATTTTGTCCGGATGTAGACTAACTGTGTACCAAATTTCATATAAATATATTTATTTATAATAAGTAGTAAGTAAGTAAGTGAAGTATATTTTATCAACAGCCTTAAAAAAAGTTTCAAACTTATAGCTTCAAAAATGGAAGTGATGAATCTTCCATACAATCTTTCATCCCCCCTTACAACCCTTAAAAAGTAGCCTATGTCCTTTCTCAGCGTCTAGACTATCTATGTACCAAATATCATTGAAATCGGTTCATTAGTTTTGACGTGAAAGCGAGACAGACAGACCGAGTTACTTTCGCATTTATAATATTAATAAGAATAAGAATTTATAAAATTAGGTGGTATATTAAGTAATGAAATGTACCTAACATTTCATTACTTAGTATCTTCGACTAACCTTTTGATTTCCTTAGATCTTAGATTGTAACGTGTATTAGACTCACAGTATGTATTAACCGCACTGGTTTGCACAATAAAACATATTCCGATGAGATCACAAAACACAGGAGTCCACGAACGCGGCAAAGAATAACTAAATATACGATAACAAAGCGTGATAAGATAAAACACAATCTCAAGATGTCTCACACGTTTAACTAAGAAAATGTTTGCTGTTACCGTGAAAACGTTCAGCTTTTTGTAAACCGTGATCGTTGAAATAATAACCGACGGCCTCGGTGGTGTAGCGGTTTAGCTCACCGACTTACTTCAGAAGGTCGCGGGTTCGATTCCTCGCACAGCACATTATTATTGTGGTTGTCTGTAAGATATTGCTTTG